ATCAAAACTTACTTAGATTTAAGTTTAGATAATAATATAAAAAAGAGGAATATAATATTTAATCTATTAGATAGTTCAAAAATTAATTTTAATAATAATTTATAGTATTAAAATAGAATGTAAAAGTAGACTAAAAGAAAAACTCTAAGTTAAACTAGTAAAAGATATAATTTAAAACTGTGCAAAATATGAAATACAGTATAAAATTCATTTTCATATATATATTTGTTGGTATAAATAAAGAAGTTTAATAAAAGAGAAATAATATTACAATAAGAAATAGAAATGATATGAATAATAAAAATAAGATTAGTAGAAACTAAACCAAATAGAATAAAAATTAAATAGATATATATATAAAATTGTGTAGTTTAAAACTGTTAAGTGTAAGAATTTATTTGTGCAAATTATAAACAAGATTGATAAACAAGAAATGTAATAACTTAGTAAACTAGATAAGTTATCATCTTCTCAAATAGTGGATTGTAAGTTCAAAATCTACTGATAGTGAAAATTTGAATAATTATCTATATAATATATAAACAATATTATAATGATAATATTCTATCAATCAGTTAAGATAAGATATTTGTAACTATAATCACACCAATATAACTAGCAGATTATGAAGCATCTGTATAAACTTGATTATACAAATAGATACAAACTAATATCAGGCAATGCAAACCTAAGATAATTTCTTGTATTTATATAAATTTGCAAAACTAAAAAAAACCAGAGCTTCATTAATAGACCTAAGTATAGTTTAATTATAAAAATAAAATTGAATATAATATTTAATAAATGATAAATTAGTAATAAGTTGATTAGACAATTTTATATTTAAGAAATGAACAGATTGATAGTAATGATTAAGAATACTATTGATAATTTAAATAAGATATATTATAAAAGTAATATATTTTTTGTCAATACTTTGATTAATCTGTTGTTAGAATAAGAAAGTTTTCAAGATAACAGATATAATAGAATTGTTTTTAAATAGAATAAACATATTAAAATCATAACTAAACATAAGAGAGTTAGTAAAAGTAAGTAATTGAAAGTTACATTATAACTGTTTATTAATTTATAAAATATTTTAATTAATACTTGAGATATTAAAAAGTTAGAAAAGTTTTTTAACAAGTTTAATAATATGATTAAGTTTTTTTAAAAAAAGATGTTATAAAGTACTGTAAAATAGATATTGTTAGTTATAACTATATTTGTAAGAGATTTTGTTAAGAATAATATGAATAGCAGTATATATTATAGAGTATTAGATTTTGTATCAAGTAGTATCAATACTTTTATTAGTTATATTATTAATAGAAGTTTTATATAATAAAAGTTGTTAAAATAAGGTATTAGCAAAAGAGTCTTAGTTTTTTGTAATTATAATTTTATAATTAAATATTTAATGATTAATTTTTATATATTTATATAAAAGGTTATTAAAGATATATGAGAATATCTAAATAGAAATAAGAATCAAGTAATCATTTGAAATAGGTTTGATTATTATTAAGACTATAATAAAAAAGAAATTGTATATTAAATTAATCAGTTCAAATATAGTTAATATAGTTGCTACTAATATTATTAAACTAAATAGAATATATATTATTAAACTGAACTTTAATATTATTATATTTAAGTGATTAAGAGAATTGATAAATTTATATTTAAAAAAAAAACTGTAAATATAATTCTATACATTAAAATCACTAAAAATAATAGAATAAAATTAGAGTTAAGAAACATATTAAATTCAGTTAATTATTATATTTTAAGTTTAGTTACAGATAATAGTATCAATAGATAAAAAATAAACTATGATAGTATAAAACTTAATATTATTTTGAAAGAAAATATCAAATACTATAACATCTTATAGGTAGATATAAATACTATAAATATGAAGTTTAAGATGATTATAGATTATAATAGTTGTTTCTTTCATAGAAATAAGAGAATTAAAATAATAATAAATAAAAAAATTGTTATTACAAAAAAAAAGATTAGTTTTATCAAAGATTTTTGTTTCAATAATACTATTAATAGATATATTATTATTAAGACAATAGTTATGTCAGACTTCTTTATTTTTTAGTTTATTAAAAACTTTAATATTGTATATAAAATAATTAAATAGAGATAATGAAAAATTAAGTTAAAAAAAAACAAAAAAAAACTATAATTCAAAGAAATTAAAATGATTATTAAGAAATAAGTTAAATGAAATAAGAATAGAATTGAAAAAATTAGATCTAAGAAGAATATTATAAAATATAATAAAAATAATAATATAATCAGGTAAAAAAAAATTATTAAAAAAATTTTATAATCAAATGAGTTAATGGAATATAAAATATTAGATACAGTTCTATTATTATTATGTTTATCAATATGTTGAATTAAAGTTTGAATAATTTGATCATAAGAAAAAAACAGTAAATTATAATAAAGAAAGAATTTGTTAAAGTATAAATGAAGATTATAAGAGATTAAAAATATTAGAAATAATCTTGCAAGGTTGTCTTCTACAGGATCAATCACCATATACTCAGCTCTTATAACTGTGCAAAATACCATAGTCTGACCTGTATGTTGAATCCAAAATATTTAATTATAACTCAGACATATTACTAAAAATAATAATTGATTTTAGATTATTTTATTAACTTTGATTGACTTACAAACATACTTTTCAGTTAAATTTTGTGACTTGTTGCAGTATCTGTTTGTGACAAACAACTTTATAAACAAATAATAAAACTTTTATAGTTTCATGATTTCATTGGAATTTACTCTTTAAACCAAAGTATATAAGATCGGAAAAAGAATATGGTTTACTATTTGAAATTTATAATCTAATTAGCTTGTTGATATATAACTCAGCTTTTGATTTGCATCCAATCTGCATTTTTATACTATCTACATTGCCTATTTTTGGTACGTTCCTGATTTTATTTATAAGGTAAGTCTAAATAAAGAATTGAACCCTTTTTATTTTATAAACTTTTCTGACATAAGTCAAGAATGTTATTTAAAATAAATTCAACCCTGAATTGAAACCTTTTTATTTTATGAACTTCTCTGACATAAGGCAAGAATGTTATTTAAACTCAATTCGTCCAAATTTGAACCTGAACCCATTAAATGAGTTTTTAATTACACGGAGTCAATCTTCGAACAAACCGTTTCATAAGGATTTTAATTAAAAATATGTTTTAGCTATAAAGCTCTAAATTAAACTAACTCTGGTCATATCGACATTGTTAAAAATAAGCTGTTTGATTATTCAGAAGTTAGTTTAACCAGAATCATGTTGCATCACATAGACTAAAAATGTTAGATCTAACTGTTACAAATGTTATTATATTTAGATCTAATAACCAAAATAATATGTAGTTACCGGAAAAGTAAAATCCAAAAGTTCAGGATGAAATATATTTATGAGAAATGAATTTAATCGGTAAAAAGAAACTTTCATAGTAAAAAAAGTGATTAGTTTTAATGTGGTTTGATGTGATAATTATATTGGTTTTATTAATTTGGAGTTCAGTTTAATCGATGCGTCATACGGTTGACGTATATGTCATCAAATAATCCAATATAATCCAGGGTTTTTAATTTTGGCCCAATTCCAAAAATGCGCTCGAAAATATTTGTTTGTTATATAAAACTTCTTAATCATTACGGCGCATTAGTAAACTACCCTAAAATTTGAAAAATTTGACTACTAATATATTAATATAGATTCTGACCGAGATAACCAAATGTTCCCAAAGTTATGATGTGTCATTTAATAAATTCCTATGTCTAATGAGATGCGTCGAGAGTGAGGGGATTGGTTAGCCTGTGGGAAAGACAGATCAGCGGGCCGAAAATTTTAACATTGAATAATTTTTATATATTTTGGTAACTAAATTTATATTTGGGGACTAAATGGTTGGATTTGGTGACCAATTGTTTGCTAATTCCGCTAATGCGCCGTGATGTTAACCATACTACAGCAATTTTAAAGTGGTTAAAAAACTATATAAATTTAAATTGATTTAAAACAATCATAAAAAAGGCCATTGTTGAATCTTTTTTTTTTGATTATAAAAAATAAGTATATCACGATTGATGGGTATAGATTTCATAGTAAAATCGACAATGAATTACTATAAAAGTTGAAATGCGGTTTTGGCAGTTTGTAAAAGTCATATAGTTATGAAGGGAAATGCAATAATTCGTGAAATATTGCCCAATTTTAAAATTATTTGCACCATAATATTTGTTAGGAACCCAAGGAAGATCTACTTAGTACATAGTTTTTTATTGTAATATAGCTACATTCCGACCCAATGGAAAAACTGCTTTAACTTCCGACATCTGATATAAATTCGTTCTTAATAATTTTACAGAGATTGATTAAGTAATTATATAATACCCTAATTACAAATTCGATTTATTTAACAATTTAACTAAAAACAGGTTAATAATAATGGTTATTAAATACAAAGAGACCTCACTGAGTGCACCCCCTCGGGGTATAGTAAAAAATTTCTAAAAATGTGCACTTAGAGAGGGTGAGTATTTATAGAAAAAAAATATAGTGCAATTATAAGCTGGAACCAGACTACACCATGCATTTAAAGAGATTTACATAAAGAATGCATTTGTAGAGGGTGCACTTAGAGAGATCTCTCTGTAATAATATATGTAGGGAATAGTTGCAAAATATTGATAACTATTTATTAGAGTTGTAATTACAAGATAATAATCCTTACGAATAGAAAAAAGGTTTAACAAATTTAATCTCAGTAATAATTTATAGATGAACTTCTCTATCTATTTAAGTTTTTAGGTGTTACCGAATTTTTGGTGTTGCGATTTGATTGGAAGATAATATCTATCTATATCTATCTAATTATAACTTTGTACCACACAGTATTATTCTTATAAAATTAACACCAGGTATAATACAAATTCTCAATTACTGTATCATGAAAACTCGTTCTATGACCCGTCAAGAACTAAGACTACGTCGCTCTAAATTTTTATGTCTGCCTCCTGAGATTTTTATTCAAATCTGTGCTCATCTCTTACCAAAAGACCTTGCTTCTCTTTTGAGAGTTTGTAAACAACTATATAATGAATTAAGTATCGTTGAACCTTCGTCAACAATTCAAAAAATTTGGAAACAATCAAGACTCAGATTCATGCCACTTAGAATTCTGGATCCACCGAAAGGAATGAGTGAACAAGAATATATTAAACTTTTGATTGAAAAAAAATGTTCATTGTGTGGAAAGAAGAGCAGAAAATCAAAGATTTATTGGGATGTAAAAGTTCGTGCCTGTGAATCATGTTATGAAGGTGGAACTGTCACGTAAGTTATCAGTACTTACGGATATTTCAAAAAATCATGTCATAAATAGCTAAACGTATTATACTTTTTATTACATGACAGTGGAATAGAGTTGTTCTATTTCAATTACTCAGCATGTGAAATCATTACGTGCATTCCATTCACAAATATCAGAGGTGATAGCAAATCCTACTGGAGATTTTTAGTTGAGGCTAAACTCAAAGAATACAAATCACTTCGTGGAATTGAACGTTATCACTGGGTATATGAACAAACTAAACAAACTGAAGAAATTCAAAGTGAAGTAACCAAGAGATGGAGAGAAGATTATTCAAATTCTAAAAACGATTTCAAATATGATAGTTTTAATATTTGACAAAATTACAATAAATTAATGTAGTGTACTGGTCAATTTACACATACATGTAAGGCACTTTAAAAATCTCTACCCAATAAAGATTCGGTTAATCAAAGAGAATCATAAACACCAAGAAATTATAAATATCTGAATTTTAAATGAAATTTATTCATACTGGTATTCATAAACTGTTTGATATGAAGCTTTTCTTAAATCATCACCTGATCGAATAGCACGTATTAATTCTATTCCAAGTTTGTGGCGCAGATTTGCAGTTAACAAACTCCTTTTATATTAAGGTCGGATCTTGACAAATCGTATAGTAAAATTCCTTAAGAAAACTTTTTGCTAGAGCAATAAAGGTGGTTTTTTATGCAGATTTTTGAGAAATAAACGGTTTATGACAAAACAAACGTTTATTTTGAATCTTCGTGATCGTGTTATGTTATATCTGATACAGTACTGAAATTTGGGGTCTCTATTTGAGAACCACTTATATGTTGTGTCTCAGACCAATGCCTATCTCAGATCACAGCTGATGCACTTCAGATGCAGATCGTCAGTTGAGGTAAAATAAATTGAATAAGATCTCTTACTCGGGTTACTGGAGTAAGAGAAACCCAAAATGATTTAAAGTAAAGAATGCCACCAGTGAGAAAAACGCCGAAGAGAATCAAGAAAGAAAGAATAAAAAAGAGCCATCTATATCTTGAAAGTCATATTCTTGAATCACTTTGGTATTTCACTACCAACAGCAGCATAATTTCACGATAAGTCTCTTCAATTAGGGATGTGACGGTCCGTCCCGGTCCGGTCTTGGTCCTAAAGACGGCCCTAGCAGAGGACCGTGGATTGGACCATGGTCCAGGACCGGTCCATAGCCCGGTTGATTGGCAGGTTTTCAAAGTAGGCTATGTGGTTTTTAATCTTCACTACATATAAAAAGACAAATTAACGTTAATCAATGTTGGCATTGTCAAGTATGAATATTTATAACTTGTTACAAATTTTATATTGATATCGGTTGTAGCATTATCGTTTGGCATAAAATTTATCTTTTTTATTTTTATATCTAAAATTCGTTATCGCTCATTTCAGATTTTTGACTTACAGCTATCATCGTCAATCCTGGGTAAGGTTGTTAAAATTATCTTGCCAAAAAGATCGAACTGGTCTTGGATCATAACGATAATACATGGTAAGTCATGTACATATAAGTCATGCGCATATAAGCCATGCGCATATAAGCATTCACAGATCACAGTCTAGATCATCTGAAAAAATTGCCAATGACCGAATCGACGAGACAAAATCAACTTATAGATTCGGTCATCGGAATTTTTTTTCAATTAGGATCGAAAACCGGTTGGACTGGTCCGAAATACCAGTCCAAACCATGGTCTTTGCAGGACTGTAACATCCCTATCTTCAGCACGTTCATCCAACATTTTCACTGCACATTCTATTTCCGATTAATTCATATCTTTTTTCTATATATAGTTTTTTTTAGCCTAAATTTTGTAGGCATAATTTTTTTGCCTAAGTCATTTCTATATGTTCAATCAATAATATTTTTTTCTATATTTAGCAAATAAATTTCTTGGTTAAGAAAGGAATCTGTAGAATGGGAGTTAATATAATGATTGATTACATAATTTTTGTTTTGAATAGATTTGGTGGTGGTAGTAGTTTATAGGTTTCTAAATGCAATTATATTGTTAATTAAGATATTTAGTAAAATGTTATATGGAATTGTTAATAAAAAAATTCCAGGTTTATATAAATTGTTTCTGAGTATAATTGTATAGTAGCATTTATTTATTTATATATTATATTTGCAAATTTATCTTATGTCAAATTTAATATCAGAAGCTTGGAGATTTTTAATTGATCTATTAGCATAAAAGTATAACTTTGTTCGTATTAAGTTAGTTAATAGGAGTGTTAAGATTAATTGGTTGTTTTTGATATATTAATGTATAGATTATTTGTTAAATAAATTAGACTTTATAAAATAGTAAAGTTGTAATAAAACAGGTTGAATAAATGAATAAAAGGTTAATAATATGTAAATATTAAAAAAAATTCTGTTATTATTTTATTCTATATCTATTAAATAATGATAACATAAAAGCAGTTTAATAGCAGAATAACTGTAAAAAAATAAAAGGTATATTGATATTAGTAATATAATGATAGCATATTAGTAAAATAATAGAACAGTTCTTTTATTTTACTTTTAGTTACAAAAACTAAAAGTAAAATAAAAAAAATTGTTTTATTACTTGGTTAATATGTTATTATTATGTTACTAATATCAATATATCTTCTATTTTTTTACTGTTATTCTACTGTTATATTGCTATTATGCTGTCATTATTTGGTAAATATAGGTTAAAATAACATATATATATATTTTTAGTATTAAGATAAGGCTTTAGGGTGTGGTGACTTAGTGAAGTGGATAAGTTGTCAACCCTCCAAGTGGTAGGTTGGGAGTTCAAAACCCACTGATGCCGAAAATTTGGAAAATCACCTATGTTATATTGGTGTATACAGGCATCTGTGCAATGTTGGAGTTATACAGAGAAATGCAAACTGGCATTGGGCAGTGCAAACACAAG